TGATTGGATTGCTTAAAACACATAAATAGGTTTTAGTAGAGTCAAAACTCTATGAGCGCAAATTACCCAATCAATTAATATCCTTCTTCCCTCTTCAGCACCACACTATCCTTATCTGAATTACAGACAAAACTAACCCCAAAAGCATGTCACAAAAAATGCAACATATCACTACAATTAAAAGCACGAATTACCCAAATAATCAAGACCCATGTGTCCTCTTCAACACCTTCACTATAAAATCCAACAAACCGCTTGTATTAACCCAGAAAATATGACAATGATAACTTGCAATAAAAATTCAGATTCATAACAAGCACCAAAACACACCAAGATATAAATGGAAAAAAGAATAGAAAAAGAAAACCGTTTTCTTTTCAACCAGTAGTTAAAAATAAAATCCAAACGAAATATTAAATCCTCAACATAGAAAAATCAAATAGCAAACGAAAACTTGCCTGAGATCGACATGTCTCTATCTTCCGGACAAGAAAGCGAATTCTCGTTTGAAATTGATTTTTTCTTGGATCCCATCTTTCTCACAGGCTTTCAAATGCCATCCGAGACTCTCTAATCCATTTGCGGTGTGTGATTTTATATTTATGAACCTATGTATATGTAGATATGACTATTGGCTTAGATGGGGGAATTGTGTGAATTACGATTCAATTAATGAATGAAAAATGGGATTTTTGTGAGAGATCTGGGTCCAATGTGAGGAAGGACAACACCGATTAGGCTTCCTCTTCTATCCTTCTGAGTCTGCATCTGCTTTTATGAAAAATACAAATTGCTTGTAAAATGGCTTATGCCGTGAGAACTGACGCTTGAAAACAAAACTTAATTTCTAAATCAATCTCTTAACCTTACTACAAATAAAAAAATCACTTTTATCAAAATAACGGACTTACTTATTTTTAGAACTATTTCATGAAAAAGAATGCTTGAAGTGCTTATGCTGGAAAATTTTAAAAATTGATAAAAAGTAGATGATGAGGCTCGTAATTTTTATTAATTTTTCAATCACATTCTATTAACTTTTATCAAAATCAGTTAAAATTTTTATTTATTTATTAAAACCCTCATCATACAACCCCTAACACTTAGGCCCCGTTTGGAAGTAATTTTTTACTCCAAAAAATTGATTTTTTTTATCGTTATTTCACTATTACAATCGTAATTTTTGACTTA